AGGGTTTAGGGTTTAGGGTCATATCGCCGGCTCTTATCACTTGCGGTGGATTCCGCCGAAGCCCCTGTAGAAGCCTAGGAAGCCCAAAAGAAACGCCCAGATTTCTTGAGCTCCATTGAAAAACCTTAGAGCGCCCTAAAGAGACCCATAGATTCCTGGCTTGCGAAGTCCTGGGCTCTGGTTCTGCCCAGGTGCAGCGTCTGCTTCTCGACTTTCCGTCGCTCCTGCTCGTTGTCGCAGAAGAAGGTGCCGTAGCGGTTGCTAAAGACCTGCTTGTTGAGGGCTTCGGGTTCAAGGTTGAGGGTTTGGGTTTAGGCTTGGGGTTGGGTACCCACGCAGACCGTGTAGCAAAAGGTTCATGGGTCGGCTTCCCATAGCGAACGGGTCGCCTCGTCCGCAAGTCGAATCAGCACGGGCGGTGCGAACTCGAAGGTGTCAGGGAATTGCTGCTGGAGTTGAAACCTGGGACTTTGGACCAAGGACTTCGGACAGAAGACAACGACACCCGGCGGCCGAATCTACAAGGCCTCAGTCTATTGCAAAGGTCATGCGGGTAGTTCTCTAAATTAGGGTCCCTTTTGGGTCCCAAATATAGTACGACGGCACCCATATAAAAAGCACCCCTAAAAGGGACTCGCACTTAAGGGCTTAGGGTTTAGGGTTTAGGGCTTAGGGCTTAGGGTTTAGGGCTTGAGGCTTAGGGCTTAGGGCTTCGAAGGTTTAGGGGCGCTGTGAGTTCAGCGTTGAAGGTTTGAGGTGATACTTGGAGGTTCATGGGTAGTTATAAGTGGGGTTATAAGTCCCCTAATGTGGGTTATAACTACAGCTGCCTTACTTATAACCCACTTATAACTACCCCTAAACCCTAAACCCTAAACCCTATAGAACCCTTTAATTAAAGGAACCCTATTATAACTACCCATGAACCTCCAAGTACTTGAGCTCAGCTGCACGCACTCCAACCACTGGATGAAGACCGGGCTGTACTCAGCCGTCGGCTGCTCACCTTTTGGGGTTCAAGGTTTAGGGTTTAGGGTATAGGGTTTAGGGTTTAGGGCTTAGGGTTTCGGGTTTCGGGTTTAGGGTTTAGGGTTTAGGGTTGAGGGTTTGGGTTTCGGGTTTTAGGGTTTAGGGTTCAGGGCTAGCTGAGCGGTGAACCATCCGAAGTCCCGAACTCAACTTCCGAGAGAACTGTGTTCGTGGATCCCGGGTAAATGGCAGCGTCAGAAAACAAGGCAGCGGAATAGAACCCGAAACAAAAGGACCCTTACGAAAAGGACCCCCAAAAAATCCAGCATTGGCACCGATGGCCAAACGCGTGCGGAAGCGGTGGCCAAAGGAGCACCACTCCTGATTGACGAAACTGGGGGCTAGGTGTCGGGCTCCCTAAATCCGAAATCCTAAACCCTAGACTCTGAACCCTAAACCTTAAACCCTGGACCCTAAACGCGGATGCGCAGGCCTAAGCTTCATGGGACTGACACGGCCGAGGTCGGACTTAGCAGGCCTTGCTGGCATGACCTCTCTTAACCTTGATTCACTCATAGGGACTCTTAGCGGGGGGTAGAGGGGAGGGGGAGGGGACGATACTTCATGAAATAGGCCTCATTAGGTCCTTACAACCCCCCTACCTGGAGGTTCATGGGTAGTAATGAGTGGGGTTATAAAGCTCTTAATATGGGTTATAACTAAAGTTACCCTACTCTATAACCCCGCTTATAACTACCCATGAACCTCCAAGTAATCATTACCCAATGTCATAAACATTGATGTCATCACCATGATAATCTGCATCATGAGCTGTACTAGTTGCATCGCCAAAGTGAATAGTATCTTTCTCATCAGTCTTGTTGCTATCCTCTTCTCCACCACCACTACTTTGTCATGATTCTCATGAGTCTTCTGGTTCTAACTATCGACGTTGATGTCTTTACGCTCGGTGTTAGCATTCTCAGTGCTCCCTTTTTCCTCACAGAGTTCTCCAATCAGCTGCTGTCTCCCCACCGAGCGGCCTTCTGCACCAGCTTTAAGAATCCCTCCTGGGTCCGGTAGTAGGGATCCAGGCAGAGCATCACCAGGGAGGAGACCTTGGTGAAGTGCCGAAGGGGGATTGACAGGTTTTTGTACTGCTTGCGCAAGGGGGGGTGTCTTTCACCCTAAACCCCAGATATGCACTAGACCCTAAACTCGAAACCGGGTTATAGGCTTGCTGAAACAAGTGCAGCACGGGCTGTCTGTGTGGACAACACAACAAAGGTCCTGAAGCCCGTTCCTCCCGAGCCTTACACCCAGCATGGTCGAAGGAAACTGCGAAGAATAAGAGAAATATATAACATAAATGCATGTGTATATATATATATATATATTTATATTTATTTATTTATTTATTGATTTATTGGCATTCAGGCACTGGGCTGTAGTAGGGAGGCTCTCAGGTAAGACGTTCCGCACAAGCTGTCCCTTTGGCAGCCACAAAACTCGCTCTTAGAGTTACGAAGGCCTACAGGGGTTTAGGGTTTAGGGTTCAGGGTTGAACATCGACTTCAAATGGAACCTCGGTCGAGCGAGGGTTGGAGTGCCCGAGGTCTGGGGTGGTAGGTTCGCATAAGTTATTCGTGGCTGAGTGCTTCGCTGCTACAGAGTTTCCAGAGTCATGGTCCCGTCTTTAGAGCGAGATCGTGGTTGGTCATAGTACAACTTGTTTAGGGAGTTGTAGGGGATGGCATTGCTAATTGTTCCGGCCCCGCTTATATACTTATCTTGCAGTAGGTTGTGTGGTTCCGGATTAAGGGAAGCGTACACTAGCGTTAGTATAGGTATCAGGACCACTAGCACACTAAATTGATAATTGAAGTTCCAAACGCTACATCGCAATGAGCGCCCTACAATCCCAACCCTGACCCGAAATATTCTCCTAAACGTGACAGACCTTAGCCCGACACCCTAAACCTGAGAACCCACGCCGACTTCTGTAACGCTTGAGAGCCTTGACCCTAAAGCCTAAACCCAGAAGCTCCGAACCCGAAAGCCCTAGATTCGATTCTAAACCCTAAACCCTAAACCCTAAACCCTAAACCCTAAACCCTAAACCCTACACCGTGGTCTAAGGTTTCGGGCTTAGGTTTCTTCTCTCCACCACCCCAGAAACCCCGAACTCCCTCCAACCCAGCCCTGTGGTGTCTTTAGCCCAGGGCTGATAACCGAAGCGCCCAGGTGAACTTCGAGTGGACCGACTTCGAGGTGCGTGTGTGGAACGATAGGATTCCTAGGTAGTATTAGGGGATTTCCCTTCAAGGGGACTACTATCGCATAAGATAGGGACTTTATTGAGAGGGTCTATATCCTCAACAGTCCCCTAATCCTAAGGGGCTTGGGGGTGTTGAGGGTTTAGGGTTCCTGTTTAGTTTAGTGTTTCGATGCAAGGTGTCGCTGTGCTGACGTTGCTCCAAACGCATTTTGGGACACTCGTTCTCTAGTTCCATATTTAGAGTTTAGGGTTTAGGGTTTAGGGGTTTAGGGTAAACCCTAAACCCTAAACCCTAAACCCTATACCCTACACCCTAAACCCTAAACCCTAAACCCTAGCCCTAAGGTTTAGGGTTTAGGGTTCAGGGTTTAGAGTTGCATCCCGAATGCATCTTTGAACAGGGAACGCTTTGGCTTCCCTGGGTAGCTTCTCGTGGTTTAGGGTTTAGGGTTTAGGGTTGTCATGATAGTCTTGCCATAAGCCCTGAACCACAAGCTCTAGATCTTGACTTGCAACTTCTCCCTAGACCCCTAGACCCCTAAACCCTAAACCCTAAACCGCTAAACCCTAATTTAAACCCCAAACCCTAAACCCTAAACTCTTAACCCAACCCTAAACCCTAATCTAAACCCTAAACCCTAACCTAAACCCTAAACCCTAAACCTTAAACCCTAAACCCTAAACCCTTAACCCAGAGTTTGGTTTGGGGTTTAGGGTTGGGTTAAGGGTTTAGGCGGTTTCGGGTTTAGGGTTTAGGGTTCAGGCTTCAGGCTTTAGGCTTTAAACTTTAGGGTTTAGGTTTGGGTTTAGGGTTTAAGGTTTGGGGTTTAGGGTTTAGGGTTTAGGTTTGGGTTTAGCGTTTAGTTTAAGGTTTAGGGTTGGGTGCATTGAAGCCGAAGATAAGCCAGAGAACCCAATGCCCCTTAAAGAAGGAATATACCTTAAAGTACAGGGCCTTCATATTCTGATTTAAGGTATGTTTTTCAATGAAGGGGTATTGGGATCTCTGGATAAGATGAGTCTGAACCCCCTCAGTGGAGCTTCCGGCACCCTAGACACCTGGCTTCCTCAGTTCCACGGCCTGAAATCCCTAACCTTAAGCTGCTTTAGGGTTTAGGGTTTAGGGTTTAGTGTTTAGGGGTTTAGGGTTTAGGGGTTTAGGGTTTAGGGGTCAAGCGGATTAGAGTCTAGGGTTCAGGGGTTGGGGTTTGGGGTTTAGGGTGTAGGGTTCAGCTACATAGCCTTGCAAAGGCAACAGACCCTTACCCGGACGATGCTGAACCCACGACACTAAACCCTATATAACCTAGGCAGCAATGAACCCTAAACCCCAAACCCTAAACCCTACATACCCTAAACAATGAATCCAAAACCCTAAAGTGTCGACCCATCACCCTATAAACCCTGAACCCCTAAACACCTGAACCCGAAAAGCTGCGATTCTGAAAAGCAAGATAACATAACCTCAAGCCCTGAACCCCTAAACCCTGAACCCTTAATAAGGGTTTAGGGTTTAGGTGTTCAGGGGTTTAGGGTTTCGGGGTTTAGGGGTCTAGGGTTTAGGATACCGTTTTGTCTGTGAGGAGCGGCAGGGTCTTTCCCAGATCCCGGAGCCAAGGAGAAAGGCGCGGGCTCCTATTCCTAAAGGAAACCTACAGGTGGGGAGGTTGGGGTTTAGGATTTTGGGTTTAGGGTTTAGGGTTTAGGGTTTAGGGTTTAGGGTTTAGGGTTTCAGTTCAAGGAAACTACAGGTCGGGAGTTCAGGGTATATAGGGCTTCTATAAAAAGGTTTCTATAAGGTAGATAGACCTTCTATAAGGCTCCCACAACGGTAACCACCCAACTGAATTTGTCCTAGTCTTTTCTGCGTATTTCGGGCGAGGGTTTAGGGTTCAGGGTTTAGGTTTTAGGGCTTAGGGTTTAGAGTTTTGAACTTAGTGTTTGAGGTTTAAAGTTTTAAGGCTTCAGGGCTTTGGGCTTCGAGCTCTGAAGTCTTGGTATGAGGTTTACGGGTTTTGGTAGGGGCGTAGGCTGTAGGGTCTAGGTTCTAGGGTGTAGGGTTTAGGGTTCCTGTAGGGACTTCTTGGGGGGATGAGCCCGGGTTATGGGTAGGGCCCCGATGAATCAGCCTCTCGGTTTAGGTCTCAGGGTTTAGATGGATTGCAATACCCTAAGGGTCCATGTATCCATATGAGTATACTTTGACCCTAAAGTACCCATATAGGGACTACATTAAGGCCTAAGTATACACTATTTGGGTACATGGACCCTTAGGGATAGGGTCCCTGTCAGACGCTCCCGATGTTCGATCGCCCCCGAAGTCTGTAAACTTGCGGGCCTGAATCAGCAGAATAGGGCTTCGGGGTATATTCCCCTAAGGGTCCATGTACTCATATAGTATATACGTTGGCCCCAAAGTACCTATATAGGGGTACATGGACCCTTAGGGTTCTTTAGTTATTATGAGAAGTACCCTCAAGGAAGAGTATTCCTAGACCCCTCCATCTACCGTCGGTTAGACCCAAAGTACCCAAATATTTGGGAGCATATACCCCTAGTTGAGGGCCTGAGGGTACGGGTTTAGGGTTTAGGGTTTAGGGTTTAGGGTTTGGGGTTTAGGGTTTAGGGTTTAGGGTGTACGGTAAGCATTCAGGCTTCCATCTTAGGCCTGGTGCCTTCAACTGTGAATGCGAGCTAGCGCCTTGGGCCCCTAAACCCGCAGGCGCTGTGTCCGAAGTTGTTCAGCCCTGAGCCCGATATGGAGGACCTAAAACCTTAAGTTAGTAGATGGGTAGTTCTCTACAACTAAGGTCCCTTTTGGTGTCCTTTTTTATACGTTAGTAGATGGGTAGTTCTCTAAATTAGGGTCCCTTTTGGTGTCTTTTTTTTATATATGGGTGCCGTACTCTCTTTGGGATCCGAAACGGGGCCCTAATTTAGAGAACTACCTAGATAGTAGTTTGAAGTCACCTGAAGATTATTCAAGCGAAGCGCCGACCCGAAGAAATACTAAACGCTAAAGCTTAAACCGTACGACCCTCAAAGCCCCTGGTGGTTTAGGGTTTAGGCTTTCGGGTTTGGGGTTTCGGGTTTAGGCCTAAACCCTAAACCCTAAACCCTAAACCCTAAACCCTAAACCCTAAACCAAAACCCTAACAGGGTTTCGGGTTTAGGCCTTCGGGTTTTGGGTGGAAGGGCCAGCTTCGGGCCGAGATTCGGAGGACTTCAACGTCCATTCGCCGATGAACGTCGTCGTGACGTCTCCGACGAGGAGCAGGGATTAGGGTTTAGGAGCCTAAGTAATTCCCAATACCATTTTTGCTTTTTTTGCTGGGGGGGGGAGGGGTGTGCCTTACTGTAGCTCTTGTGTAATATAGCCCAATTCAAAACCCGACTCTAATTCGTAAGGCCCCTATGGTAGTTTTGGCCTGGGCCATGTTCTGGGAGCTTCCAAGGGCGGAGCTTCGTAGATAGACATGTTTAGGGTTTAGGGTTTAGGGTTTAGGGTTTAGGGTTTAGGGTTTAGGGTTTAGGTAACCGAAGGGTCTTAGTCCCTCTTTGGCGAAGCCCGACACCCCCAAGCACCAATATCCAAAGCCTTGGAACCCGCAGCTCAAAAGGGTTTGGGGTTAAGGGTTTAGGGACTTTAAAGGACGCGTACAGGACCGTTTAGTGAAGCCCGAATCTCTACAACCACAGCCCCTAACTCTTAGTGTAGCCCACTGGCAAACTCAAAGTGCCCTAATCAGGTACTATTATGAAGGGGGGGGTTCTTCCTCAAATCATACTGGCAATTTGTAACATAGAAACACCCTGCATCCTATTATAGAGGTGCTTAGG